ATGGCTGCAAAGCTTGTCTCTGTAGACTCCTTGCCAGCAAGTCTTGCTGCCTGCAGCCGCTAATGCCCTTCCTGCCTTCCTCCTGCCTGAACACAGCAGTGGCAGTGACATTGGGGTCAACCTTTCTGGCCCTGGTGTCCCTCTGTGCCCCACATCACGGCCTTTCCTGATCTTGCTGCACCACGAGGTTGTGGAAGCCCATGGCTGCAAAGCTTGTCTCTGTAGAAAGAATGAAAAGTAGCAAGGGAGAGGATTAAGCTGCTGAAAGGCATCTGGTTTCGCTGTGTGAAGACACAGCTCAGCCACGTGCTGCTTTTACAGGTGTGGGGAGAACAGCCCTTCCTCTGCCCACTTTTTGGCAGCCCCCCCTGTCCTCAAGGTTGTGTGACCCGTTGCCAGTTTTTACATATTCATCCTACAGCAACACTCATTGCCAATAGACCCTGGGTGCGTACTGAGGAGCTCTCGGACAGGTTGTTATCTCCCATTCTGTTGGAAGCTGAGCTTTGTTGCTGTGCTAATCAGCACAGAGCTGAGCAAACACAACGTAATGTTAATGAATTATTGCAGGCAGCGTCCGCGTCCTCCTCAGTGGTGTGTGGCAGGGTCACCTGCTCTTCACTATTCTAGTCTACCTGGGAAATCTCTTTCAGTGTCTATTTTTGCCTAGCACAGTGGTGACACATTGGTTATTCGCCCATAATTCAGTATATAAAACCAGCCATAACTGGGAACATTGCTTTCTGCGTGGCCTTGAGTGCTGAAGCAAAACCCACCTGACCTAAATGGGTGTTTTTCCAACAAAACAGGCTCCAAGTTTTTTTTTTGGCTGAGAATTTTGTGAGCATTTTGCAGTCCTGGTTCACTGGAAATCAACTTTTAGATGTGTAATCCCACAAATAGCTGTGCTGCTGCCAGGTTTCGGCGGTGGTGGGATGAGCATGCTCCAGTGCCCACCGGCAGCCCCGTGCTCCCACAGTCATGCTGGGAATGCCATGGGGCTCTAGTGGAGATGTCACACTCTGGCTCTGGCTCACCATTTCCCCATGGCACTACAGATTCATTCCTTGCAGTATGTTTTCTAATTTTCTTGCCATCCTAAGGTATAAAGGTCTTGAAAAAAAGTCTCTTAAGAGTGATTTTGCATCACTTGATAATTCTCATCACTGGGAGTTTCTTGAACTGAGATTTCACTTATAATGTCTTAGCCACTGTGAAATTGGAGGAAGCCACAGTCCCAGACCTGGAAAAACTGTCAGTCTAATTTAAATTTTGAAGGTCCTGTGAAATTCACCTCCTGCAGCTTCCTTCCATATTGCTGTCCCCATGTTGTCACTCCCAGTGATCCCACCTCCTGCGGCCGCACACAGCTTTCTCCAAGAGTGTCTGATGAGAGGAGGGAATGGTAACTAACACTCTAAGCAATGCAAGCATGTGTCTGCATTTTTTTCTACCCTGATGTGGGTGATATTGATTGGTCCACTAATGTAAATGTCTCAGCTGTTGTATGTTACTTTTCTTGCTTATTAATCAAAATAATGCAAAATGAGGGGAAAGCAATTTTTTTTTTTTTTTAGGAAAAAAATGAAATCCAGTCAACAGTGATTGAATACAGCCTGCTGGAATGTGATGGGGCTGCCTGCCACCCACCAGACATGAGGATACCCACAGTAACTGGGGAAAAAAGCTCAAACACTTTGTTTTGACATGTTGTATACGCAATGTTTGGATTTTTGTCCCTGAGCAGTGTTTTGAGGGAAGATTTGCCGCAATCTGTTTGGTTAAAAAAAATGCAGCCAAATGTTTTGTTTGTATCTACTGACACATTTCAGTCAACTGCAAATGTCTTTTTTGGATGTGCAGGTTTTTGTTTTGTCTGGAAAACAAAGTGGAAGGAAACAACTTTAATTTGCAGGCGACTTGAAGTTATTTCTCCTTCCCCCAGTTGGGGAGACCTCCCTGTAGCTAGCAGCGGATGCAAAGCACTGAGACATATACATAATATCTAGGATGCAAATACTCCCACTGAACCAATTCACAGATTGGAAATTGAGCTGGTGCTTAAGTGCCTTGGTGGATTGAGGCTTTAGCAATAACAAATAGTACTAAGGAGCAAAAATGATCAATTAAAGAACTCCTAATGAATCAAAATATCAGCCTCCCTGAGCTGGGAAGGCCAGAAGCTGAAAGGCAGATTAGAGAAGGTGTGAAATCCCCTTGTTTGGTGTTTCTCACTGCGTGGTGGCTACTGCTCTGTACTGCTTGTATTTCCCTGTGATTTCATGGTAAGGCTGAAGAGAAGGAAACTACTTGAGATGCTATTGACAATCCTGTTTGTTTCTATTGCACAAACAGTACGGAGAATCCAGATATTTATGTTCTATGCACAGTTTAAAAAAAAAAATGGAATGTCTGGAACAAATTGCTCTGTTTTAATTTGATTGTAGTTACCTCAAACCTTGGAAATACTAATTTGTTTTCTGATACAGTTGACAGATTTTGCTATGCAGCCTGGCATTGTGTAGGAGCATAATGCATATGGTAAAGGTGACTAACTCCTGAGAATGTCCCCACTGATGCCAAGTGATCCATATGCTGTCATAAACACTTTTTCTTCTTTTTTTCACACTGATGGCAAGAGCACATTTTGGGTGGAAGATCACATTAGGCTCATTCATTACCTGCGGTGCTGGTCTGTGCGTCTGCAGTGCAGCATCTCTGCACTGAGCTTTGGGTTACATCCCTGTGTGATTTCTGATATTCCAAATTGTCTGTCGTGGGTATACAGATCTTCTCCTCTATGCACCCTAGAACATTGTGCCACAGAGATAAAAATTACACTTACGGGTGGCTGAACTTTTGGGGGATATGGTTGTTGATAGCTGATATTAGGCTGTCTATATATCAAGAGAAATTCCTGAAAATTGATTTTTGTAGCAAAACTATCACTCCTTGTAGCAAATGAGAAAGAAACTGGCTGGCAGACTATTCTCTATTTTTATGAGTAAATTTAAAATCTAATGAGAACCAGAGGTGTGACACTGTAGTGAAATTTTACAGTACCACTGCAAACTTTAATCCTTACTTTTACTTTTTTTGAAAGTCTTTTTGTCCAAAAGCAAAATTTCAGACCTAGGGCTACTGAAGACCATCTTTAAACTTGCCTTCTGATTTTGAGCAATACATCATGAGAGCAGTGATGTTCAGATGATACATTGCACTAATACATCACAAGAGCACTATCACTCTCATGATGTATTAGTATAATACACTATCAGAACACTATCACTGATGTATTACTCAAAACCACAGTTTTTAACCCTCAAGAATCATCCTCATCTCTAGGCTGAATATACTGAAAGCTGTGGATAACGATAAGAATAAGCAATTACATATTTGGTTTCTCTAGGGTAAGCTGAAGGAAAAAAAAAAAAAAAGAGTGGTATTCGGAATATTTCATTAACTGAAACATCCTTATGATTTCATTTTATTCACTGAGCAAATGCTTTTATGGATTGAAGCTAACACCATATGGGTGTGTTTGAATTTTCTTACAAATAGCTTAAGAAAATATTTTTTTTATTTTGGATTTCACTATAGACTTGAGCCATGTTTTGAGAATGTTTCCATGAGGTGCCTGACTTTCATCTGATTTCTACCTCATCAAATTGAGTGAGGTGCAAGCTATCTGAATTCCATGTAAAGCATTTGGTGCTGTTTCTTATGCAGTCTTTTTCTTAAAATAAAGGATTTAGGCACCATCTGAAAAGACCTGGAGATGCATATATGTGATCTGTCACTCAGATCATTTGCTGCCTCGCCTCAATGAGGTGTTGGATTTTTTTCCTGAAGAATTACTCTCAGTTGTTTTTTCTCAAAAGAGAGTGAAAGCAAAAGGGGAAAAGATAAAAGAATGCTTTGCAATGTTGTAGCTGAACTTACTGCAGAAAAGCAGATAGATGAGTGTTTGTTTGATTCCTTAGTGGATTTTGAGTCTTGAGAATCTTGAATTACTCTTCCTACATGGTATGAAGAGACTGTCAATCTCTTAACAGAAAAAAAAAAACTATATAGTAATGCTAATAATAGAACATCAAGGTGGCAAGTCATATATTTGCTTTCTTCTCTGTATTTCTGTTCCTTCTCCCCATACCTCATCAGCACTGGTGACACAAATGCGTTGCCCCACACCTCCCTCCCACACCGGGCAGCCCAAAGCCGCCTGTGCAGCTCCCAGTCCTTTAGCTCTGCTACCCCCGAGCCACAGCCCTGCCTTCAGGAGAGCGATGCTTATGCTTCAGGCTCTGCAAAACCAGTCTCATAATTGTACCTCGCAGGTTTGGGACCACTTGGTGCACCAGAGCCTGTGTCATTGCAGGCGTGTGCCCCCAGCGCACATCTCACACCCCCGGGGGCTTCAGTCTCTTATATTCAGGCTACAACCTCCTGGGAGTAAAAGCCTTTTAAACCTTGCTAAAGACATTGTGTCAGCCCTGCTGTACAGCCTGGTGAGCGTCCTTTTCCGACAGCCTTTCCACCTGCCTGGTCTCTGCTGTGTGCCGTTGGTTCCTCTGTCCCCCAGATAGTGCAGTGCAGCTCTGAGCCCAGGGCTGCCCATGCAGACTGCTACAGCCACGTCCCATCATTGGCACCTTCTTATTCTTGTTGGTTTTGGAGTCACAACATACAGCTCTGAGGTATATTGTCATTTCAAACCCATGGCTAAATATGTCTCTGACTGACAACAACCAATAATTCCACAGAGCCCCTAAACTTCCAGGCATTTCCCTCTGAAGCTCATCTGATACAGCAGAGCTGCTCTCTCATGTTTTTCATCTTGTATATTCTCCAAAGAGTTGAGATACTGTTATGGAACAGGTTAATATATTTCCTCTAGAAATAATGCTGTGGGAACTTGTGTGTGTTGAAAACAATGCTGATAATCCAGAAGAGAAAGTCATGAGCTTGAAAATCAAAATTATTTTGTTTCATGTTTTCAGCATGTCCATGTCCATATCCTTCCAAGGAGAGCTGGAGACAAATCTACGAGGAGGTAAGGGCTGCACTCCATTTCTTGTTCAGAGTTGGTTTTGCTGTTAGAAAATCACCTTAGTGATACTGGCGCTGCCTCGAGGGGAGGTAGTTAATGGGATCTCTGCATCCTTACTGGTTGCAAAGACCCTGTGATAGCACCAAGTCCTATACTGGGATATCCTTGTGAGCTCTGGGTCAAGCTGTGTTCATGCAGGGTCCCAAGGGAGGATGCAGTTGACATCTTTGGTACTTCAGTCTGTCACCACACACAGAGCGAGGTGACATCTCTACCAATAGTTGTGTTCTCTTATTTTGAGAGCGTGGGGGAAAAGGGTGACCACATGGTTGTCCTGGTATGCGGGGAGGGTGTCCTACCCAGGCTGTAGCCTGAGGTGCCAAACCTCCCCCTTCCAACCAGGGAAAACACAGGCAGCTCGTTACAACTCAATCACAAATTGCCTTCTGGCCCCCTTTTTGTAGGGCTCTGCTCAGGCTCCGGACAAATCACATTGCAGCCCCAAAGATAAAAATTAAAGAGCAGTTATAGATATAGCTGTAATACATGCATGTGCGCAGATTGTACGGCAGAGCTGTTTCAGTGTGACTGAATTACTGGCTTTTGTTTAAATGAACAATTGTACAGGCATTAACAAAAGTTTTCCCCAGCTCGACAGCTGTCACAATGAGTTAATGAAAAAATCGCACTGTTGTTAGGTTTACGGATGGTTCTTCATGGGTTTGGTAGGCTTCTCTATCTCAAATATGACATCTCCTTCTCTTTCTGAAAATAATTAATATAAACTTGTTCAGTGCTACTGCAATACCATCTGCTTGAAGGAGAATTCATGACATATTATGCTTTTGTATTTTTTCCTTTGTGATATATACATGATGACAGCTCCTCACTTTCAAAAAAAATTATAGTGTATTTTAGAGTTTTCTAATGACTTAACTATGCAAAAGTGGTGAAAAAAGTTTATTATTGCCCATTTACATGAAGCATAGAGACTGAGAGCCCCACCAGTAAGGGTAAAACTTTATAATGAGACTGCTGAGCAAGGAGATCAAATGTAAATACATGATGGCCATCATATGCTGCTGTAGTCAAAAGCAGTTAAGTGAGGCAACTTGAAAGTTAACATTATTTCTTCTGTTCAAATGTGTTAATGGTTTTAGATGCTGCACCAACTCACAAACTCTGTTTCCATTTTTGTTGCATTTACAATGCCATTTTCTTCTTTTTTAACACATTTATTTCTCCTTTGTTATATGTAAATACAAACAGGCAAAACTCTGTTAATGAACCAGACTCTATATTTAGTGTTGTTAAATGCAAAAGGATGGCAAATGGGTGAAAAAAATATTTTTGTCTTGTAATTTTCATTTATAGCAATTGTAGGTGTTGCTTGTAGCAGGCATAGGAAGCAAAAATATTTAGACACAGATGTGATAACATATCTTTTAGCAGAAGAATGTATAGCCTCAGAGTCTAACCAGCTATTCTTGAATACCACTGAACTAACTTGTGCTTTTGTACAGGCTGTAGCTGAACAAAGATTTCATTTTTTTTAGGATGCCAGGGAAAAAACCCACATTTGATGTTATAAAAAGTGTGATGCCAAGTTCTATTGCTGGCTGGTTTGGAGGATGGAGGGACTTAAACAGTATGTTGTCATACGTGGATAAATCTATTTTGAAAAATACAAAATGGACAAATTATTGAAAATACAGCTGATTTGGGAGACCATTTGGAGCTGACGTCAGTAAGGCAAAAATCTTTTGATATAATGCATCTCTGAGTTGTACTAGAAAGACATATCCCTTTGTCAAGAAGATCTTTTGAAAGGTTTAGGAAGATGTGTAGATTGTGGTGGGGCAACAGGCTGAAAATCTACAAGGGACAGAGTACCATTAAGTGAGATGTAGGTGCTGGAGTGAGCTTTAAATCCATCAACCATGAAATTTGTCCTTAGGACAATCCAAAACTTGTCTATAAACAGTGCTTCATTTCCATATATTTGAGTGATAGATGGAGTTGCCGTATAGGCAGCGAAGACCAGCTTCCAAAGTCATCCCAACAGCCTTTTCCATGTAGTATGTGACATGGAGGCTGATCAGCCTCCCATAAACAATTTGTGTAATTGTAAAGCACACCCAGGCTAAATTTTGCAAATTTTGGTGCCTGGTTTAACTACTGCAGCTGAAGGCTTTACAGCGATTGGGTGTAATTTTCACAGGTTCTGGATCTCAGCTCTGGTTCAACACATCTATCGCAAACCCCTATCTGTCTGTAAATGCCTTTGAGCTCTCCAAGCTCTGCAGTTGTCATCTGTATATGCTCAGCAGATTGCTGACAAATCCCATTGCTCCGTGAGTGTCTGACAGTGAAAGCGATGGCCAAGTGTTGAGACATCAGTCCTCTTAGGAGACTTCCTAAGAGAAGAAGAGTTGAGACAGATAGAAAGTACTTGCTGTCTCTTACCGTGTGCTTTATTTTTCCCATTCAGCTTGGGATTGACCACTCACCTGATTGAAAAAAAAACCCAGAAAAACAGTATATCAGGTTGATCCCTGCTTAGTCTGTTTGCTGGGCTCTGGTGTCTTCAGGCTTTTGGCTATGAAGATATAGCTTCATCTAGAGCAGGTTTTAAGTGCGAAGAGTATACTTAAAGGTAAGGTGTATCTTTAGCACTTGGGTTTTAATAAGGCTGCTGACACTAATGTCTGCTGGTTTCTGGATATATATTTAGAACTTCAATACTCGAACATTAATTGTAGAAGGAATAAAAGAGGGGCTGACACCTATGCCACAGCACCTTCTCTAAGGCATTTCTTGGTGGAATGTGTCACTTAATAGTTTAGGTTTCTGTACCACAGCATGTATGAAAGAAGTCACAGTGTGATTTTTCTAAGATACAGAAAGAATGATTAATAATGAAAAAAAAAATCTGCATTGAATGTTTTAGATGTATTTCCTATGCATCTTTGCAGGTCTATTCTTTGGGAGGGTATTTCCCAGGGAGTGTTACCTCCCCACCCTCTCAGCTCACTGTAGTGGAAAGCTAAAGGTGTATTTTTTCAGTTCTTATATTTTCCTGCAATTATTTGAAGCCTAATCCTGCAAGTGTGCACATGTCAGAGTTAAATTACAGGATTTTTATAGGATCAGGCCCTTCACTTTTTGCTGGATTTACCATTGCTGGATTGCTTTTCTCATCTACGTCTTAAGTAGTTCTTATGCATTGATTCGCTTTATTCTTGGACAGCAGAACTATAGCAGCTAAATAATAGAAAAACTTTTCATTAGAAAACATCTTAATTCCTCTCCGTTTTCTGTTTGGTTTGAAATAGATTAGAATTTTTATGTTTAATAATCAATGAACTTAAAGACCTTCCTATCAAGGAGTAGCCTGCTTTGAAGTAGTCAAGTGTTTTGCTATTGTAAGGGCATGTCAAGGTAACTGATAAGAATTTGGTGTTAATGAGTGGCTTTGCTGTAGCATGGCACCCTGTGTTGCTGCAGTCAGCACAAGTACTGCAGAGTTGTTGGTGGTCATTGAGTCCAAGGCGTTTAAGAACATTATCCTGAAATGTCTCAGCAGTTTCATACACTCAGCCGTCGGTGGGCAGTCCTCATTCAGTGTGTGTTTGAAAAGTCCATAGCACAGCCTGTCCCTGGTCCCCGCTGAGTGGTTAGCCATTACCGCAATATAAATAACATTCATCATCCTTTAGGTTGGCAGGTAATAGCCGTACTGGGCCAGAGAGCGTGGGGCTTTCTCAGAAAGGAAGACTGAATCAAAAGTCCGCAATACCGCTGTTATGAGTACTGACCTCAATAACTTAATTTTGAGGCTGACAGACTCGGATGGGTGAGGGCAGCCTGGCCTCTCAGCAAAACCCTGAGCATCCCTGGTACGCAGTGATGCGTTCTGCGGTGCCGACCCTGGTTTCTCCCCAAACTCTGTGTTTCACTTGGTGGTTGCAGCCTGCTGTAAAGGATGCAGCTGCAGTGGCGATGCACATCCAGGGCTGTGCCTGCAGGCTAAAGAGTGCCCATCCCCTCGCCAGCTTTGCTTTCATGCCCACCCCATTTCCTCACCTGTCTTCAGTTCCTAACCTAGGCTGGAGAGCACTGAATATATGGTAAAAAGGGAAGTGTGAATGAGAGGTTAACCCAAACCCCAGCTGCCTGGCGGACCTGCATCACTGACCTCTTGTAATGAGCCCGAGTGAAACTTCCTAATGTGAATTCTTCAGTAACTTAGAGATTTTGCAAAATGCAAAAGCCAGCAAAAGAGTTTGGTTCATGCTGTCCTCGTTCCCCTCAGGCCTTCAGGCACGCAGCGAGAGAGTCACTTAGGGAAAGGTATTTTGACTTTGTGATCTCGTTCAGCACATTATGTTAAATCATTTAAACAAGAATACCTATTAGTAATCATTTCCAATTCCAGAGAGGATGAAGGAGACATTTTGGCATGTGACTCAAGAACCTGCCGGGCTGCTTCTTCAGGCTGGCAAAACAGGGGAACCGTGCTGAATTCAGGAGTTTAGTCAAACAAGCCTGAAGTTTAATTCTCCATGAGTGGCTTTGACTGTGACCTGCCTTCGCCCTGGCCTGCAGACAGCATCTCGTGTGCTGCTGGGCACAGAGCCTGGCGGAGGGCTTGAAACCCGCACAGCTGCACTGAACTCTTTGGGCACTTTCCCACTTAAAGTATATAATGAAAAGATAAATAAGCCCTAATCCAGGTCCTGCTAGACAAATGGAAAGATGCCTAACAGCTTCTGTGAGCACTGGATTGAACTATTCATGAAAATTAATGGCATGCAGAGCTAAGAGGCTGTTCCTTGGCCTCAGAATTGTATTGCACCTTCTGGGAACATATTGTAGCCTGCTGGGATCAGTCTGCTGCATCTGAACTCCCTTGGGGCCAGGGTAAACCCATGGAAAGGGAAGGAAGCAGCACAGAATCTAAATTGGTATATATTTAGAAAAAAATAATCCCTGTCTTCCCCAGGTACAAGTCTATTTCCCTATCTTCTTCTGATGCAACAGAAAACAAATTCTTCCCAGTAAGCTGTGGATTTTATCCTGGTCTTGCCAATGTTGTGCTCTGTGACTGACAGACCATCAGAGGAGGTTTCTGCTAGCCAAGGAGCATCAGCCTTTCCCAGTTGTCTCGTTAGTCTCATGATATTATAGTGACTCCAGCAGGGCAAGTCAGATTAACTGTCCATGAATATTTCCAACTGAGAGCATTGCAGTAGAAACTAGAACTCTGCTTTGGATTTGGTAGCTGAATGGACAAAAAATCATTTTGAGTTGACCTGAAACAAACTTTTTTTTTTTGCCATCAGATTCCCTTTTTGAGTCAGGTGATTTGTTTTCTGGACCATAATATTTTATCCAATTATTATTTAAAGGCCCCTGGAGACTGCTGGTACCCCCTGAAAGCTTCTTGCATGTGCCCAACTTACATAAGGCAAACTGACTAATTTGTCAGTAAAGTCTAGCAGGAAAAATGGGATATATCCTATTGTCATGTGTATCTCCCTAGATGTAAACCCCACTGTTGGTGGTATTTTCTGCCCTTTCCAACCCTGTGAGGTGTGTCTTCATTTAATACCTGAAATCTCTGAGCCCTTCCTGTATGCTGCGTACATTGCTGTGCTTATTTTAAGAGAGCAGTTCAACTATAGGAACAAATTAGAAGTGGTTAGAAGGGTTCCCATTGAGGCAGCCACCCCTCATGATCGCACACATGTCCTTTACCCTAGGCTTTGTCTGGAAGGTAATGTACATTTGGTATTTTACATATCACGGTGTAGTCTCATTGCCCTCTAGCCTGGCTGTCTCTCTGCATTCCATCACCGCTTTTGCTGCTTCTTACCCTTTCCACCCTCAAGGTTTCTACAATCGTTTTCCTCATAGGTAAGAAATATCAGCTTCCAGAAATCACTTATATTTAGTCTATAATATAGCAAAGAGAAATCATTGTGACCATTACAAATGATCTCTTGGCCTCTTCCCTTCCATGTTTACTGTGTTTAGCTCCTGGAGTATTTGCTCTTTTGTGTCCTTGATGGCAGTTCGTTGGCAAGTGACTTAGTGACAAAGAGCCTCCAACCAAAGCCAAATTGCTGATGAGAGGATTAGAGGGAACATGGTCTCTCAGGCCTGGTTCCTCTGGCAGTGCTTGGACTTGCTTAGCTGCTTGGGTGCTTCTTCTGTATTCCCAGTCCCCAAGGTAAAACTATCTCCAGACTTCTGCTTATCCTTTGATGCACAGTGTAAGCTGAATTCATGCTGGTGGGGAGAACGTGCCCCATTAGTAACCTAGATACTGGGTTTTTTGGAATTGATGAGATGGAAAGTAAACCAAACTATCAGGGAGTTGGCGTTTTCCAGAGAGAGATTTTTCTTCTCTGAACTGGACTGTTCAAATGGCATAATCTTAAAATTAAGTACTCCCTTGTGTTCTTTTTAAGGTTCAGGATATGGGAGCAGCTAGTTGGTTACCCCCAAACCAAATCCCACTGAAACCCAAAGCACTGCATGACAGATGACTTCAGCAATTTTTTTCTGCCAATAGCAAGAATTTGAGGAGTCCCGGTGGCTAACAGTGGTCCAGCCCTCTGACCCAGCTATGTAAAGAGGCTGTGGTTTTAGCTTGTGATCCCATGAGGAAAGATCTCTTATCTTCCTGCAATTTGGGACGGTTCCTTGATCTGCTGTCCTGCAAACACAGATCAAAATGTTTTGAGGGATGAGCTTTGTCCAGTGGAGGTGGTTCAAGTACCAGTTACCTTATGAGTGATCATCTCACAGGAGACGCCATCTGAACTGGCTGCTGCTGCAGGTTCATGGGCTTATCCAGCACTGAATCAGCAGCTTCACTGGTTCGGATGCAGGGCTATCTGCCTTGTTCTAAATATGACTTTTGTAAATGAAGGTGAAAGTATAGTAATGGAGCCAAGTGTTCTTCCTGGTTGGGAAGTAAATAAGTCTGCTGAGATGGGTTTGCCAATATCTGCAAGGTCAAGTTAATTTATTTTTTGAGTCAAAAGAGTGAAAAAGTATAGAGATATGAGAAATAAGCTTTCTAGATGTGTGCTTGTATTCTGGTTTTGTTTGGTTTGTAAAAAAAAAAAAGCATGCTTTCTTTTTCCTTTATGTATTAGTCCACTGTTTTCCCTCTTTTTTTTTTTTTTTTTTTTTTTTTTTTCTTCTTGGGGGAAATAAAAGTGTAGAAGGAAGCTGAACTGAAAGACAGTTAGAAAAAACTGCCAACAATCCTAAAACGGAAAATAGAGAACTGAATGTTTGTGGTTTTCAGAAACCAAGATAACATGTGGGCAGTTTAAGTTGAAACAAAAATCCTCAAACCTCTTATTTAGGGACGTTTAAATAAGAAATTGTTAATTGAAATAGAAGTGAAAAATATAAAATCTGAAGAAAAAGACTTTTTAATAAATAGTTATTTATACAGTTGCATATATATACATGGACATTCACGTGGACAGAATGGAGAGCTCAGAAATACATGGGAATATTTATTTTGGCCCCCTCTAAGATGAGGAATAGTGCAACATTTTTACATTTTCTATTGTAGCGTGCCATAGCTGCCTCAGTTTTGTTCATAAACTTTGTAGGAACTTGTGGACCTTCTCTTTTCCTCAGAAATGAATGGGATTTGAGCATCTCCATCTCTGAGCAAGATCTGAATATGTCATGCTTTGCTCAGTATTTCTCCCATAACAATCACCAGTGAAACACTGGAATGTAAATTGCCATCCTTGAAGCTCCAGACTTAACACCTTTCTGTCACCAGCTCCCTGTGGTTTCACAGTTAACACCTCACCTTTTTCTGTAGAAGACAACACTTTACAGCTTGTGGTCTGGCAAAACCACTACAGAGTTTATCATAGGCAGGTCTCAGTTTCACGCATTTCAAACAGTCGCTAAAATAATTCATTGCCAAAGATAAATCTTCTATACCATCATTGTGGTATGTTAAGAAGGACTTAACGTGCATAAAAGGCAAAGGTACAAAATTATTTTAGGCTAAATACTGCAGGAATATGGTTTCCTTTTCTAGAGGCATTTGCTCTAAATTATTTTCTGCTCTTTTGAGCACCAATGATGCAAGTACGCCGGCGAGTCGCCGGATGGCAAGGGCTCAGGTCTCCCGTGGGCAGACCTGGCGAGGGATCAAACCCATACGATATCGGGAAGGAAGCTGATGATAAAATGATTACATAATGAGAGTGGACATTAGCTTTTGTTGCAATGTTTTTTGCTACAAAGGAAGTCCAAAGAGACAGGAGACCTGTTCCCATACTGGTAAAGAAAATGTTTATTTCGGTTTCAGAAAGGAGGTTTTAAGAAACCATTGCAGCACAGTGAAAATTTAGTTTGACAGTGTCAGGATAATTATACACAATTTGGTTTTGTTTAAATATGTTAAGCGCCATTGTTTCCTTTCTGTGTTAATGATTGACTTGAGTGCTAAGTTGCAGCAGTTTTCCTTAATTGCTTTAATCCTTGGCCTTAAGAAAATGAATACTTTAAATTTACACTTGTTAAGTACAGTGCTAATGAAGAAAAGGCTTTAGCAATCTTTGGCAGACCAAAACTATGTGTAAAAAAAGAGAAAGCAAAGAGAAAAAAAAAATGAGAGGGGGAAGCTAATCACCAAACCATTCTGTTAATGCTTATTTTAATCATGCTGCCTGCCCTTCCTGGCAGACAGAGCCATTAGGCTGCAGAGGCAGGAGGCGAGCTATCACCGTCAAATGGCGCTGATGTTGAGAATTGGGCTCAGGAGTACAATTTGCCTTGTCAGTTTATATAGACATAAAGCTTCATTGTTGTGCACAGGCACAACTGGCTTTTTAAAAGTCTATTTCCCTCCTGATGATGGGAGAATCTGCTCCCCTCTCTCCTACTGTTCTCCAGCCCTCAAATTTATTAGATGGAGTTTATAACCCTGCCCAGGGTTTACATGGTGCTGCAGGGGCAGGTGGGCTTCAGCAGTGCCACAGAGACCAGCTTCCCAGCTCCAGACCACCGGGTACCCACTGGGGTGGGGAGGGGGGAAGAGCTTTAACTCCCACACGGAGTGATGTCTCATTGCGGGGAGCTTGAAAATGCCCATATCACTGCAAAGTTCAGAACTGTGAATTCTCTGTGGGATTAAGTATGTGTTTTAAAACACACAGGATGCTCAGAAGAAGAGAGGAGCAAACAGCATTTCCTTGGGGGGGCAAAAATGAAACATTTCCAAACTTTAATTAATTACTGGAAACATAAGATCTGTTTTCAAAAACAGCTCATGTTGCTATTTTCCATGTATAGGAAACTTTTATCTTTCTGACA